AATGCCTGACTGAAGCAATTTCGCGGCACACCCAAATCCAGCAAGTGCGCGAAACAGCACCAGGCAGATGCCCATTTCCCGGCGTTGGGCAGTGCTAGTGCTCCGAAGAGCAAGAAGGCGCAGGGTCCATCCGCCTGGAAGAACCCGGCAGCCACATGGGGCAGCTGTACTTGCCCGAGAGGCAAGGTTTGCGCCCTGTGTTACTGAGCCCCTGGGCGCAACACAGCTGCTGGCCCGCATGTCGCAGGGTCGCGGAAGGAGCAGAATGGCAAGAGGCTTGTGAAGAGAAGGCCAAAGCAGAGAAGGCAGCGGCCGAGGCTCGTGAAAACAAAGCCAGAGCAGACAAAGCAGCTGCCGAGGAGCCCACCGCGAACCGTTCCAGATACACCGGTGCATCATGAACGATAAGATGGAGAACGCGATTCGCAAGATGCAAACCGCCACCAGCTGTGAGGTGGCGACGCACGCCTTCCTGCAGCTAAGGATGTGGGCTTGTGCCGGACGAGTTTCGGCTGCCGTTCCGCGCCCGTCAGGAAGCTCAGAAAGCCAAGCAAGAGGCCATCCAGGAGGCGAAGGCCGAGCGAGAGGCGCAGCTGCAGAAAAAGAAGCCTGGAGAAGATAAAGAGGGAAGGCCCGTGCCGAGGAAGCGGCGAAGCAACAGGCAGTTAAGGCACATAAGAAACAAGACGTGTTGGCCGCAAAGGCAGCGGCCATTCCCGTCATGCACACCTTCTACTTGGCCTTGCAAACAGGGGCTTGAATATCTCGATTTTCCTGTTGAGTTTTGCTCGTACATTGACCCTGCATCGTAGGTTCGTCTCAGCCAGGCGGGAGGCAAATAAAGCCAATATCATGCCAGTATGTTGCCCTCGTTTTTCAGGAGCCCACATCACCGCATCACCCAACAGTTGGAATGTGTTTGGGTTCTGGATCGCAACCGCCGAGGTTTGCCCGTATACATTTGGATTTGCAGGTGATGCACGCGCTACTTGGTGTTTGGTTAGCTACCTTATCCATAGAGTAGAAGTGGTTGAAAGCATGGAGTTTACGGTATATTCAGGACTTGTGCTAACATCATGCTGTTGATTGGGTTCAGACGGGCAAGGTGTTTGATATGAACATCCACCCTGGGCAGGGCACGCGTTGTTCCGCGTTGTGGGAAAATCCGCATCTTTTTGGAAGCTTTCTGCGAGCGTCAGGCGTGCAGCCAAAAGAAGTCCGTGAAGGCGCTTGCCGGGCTGACTCTATCGCTAGTGTAAAATCAGAACTCTTACGAACCTTGGACTGTGATGGGATGGAGCCTCGGAGTGCATGGGGCGCCCAATATTTTAAAATCAGAACTCTTACGAACCATGGACTCATGGGATGGAGCCTCGGGCGGATGGGCGCCCAATATTGCAAAATCAGAACTCCTACGAACCTTGGACTGATGGCATGGAGCCGCCGGCTGATGACCCAAAATTGTAAAATCAGAAGTGTTATGAACCCTGCACTGATGGGATGGAGCCTCGGACTGATGGTGTGCCCAATATTGCAAAATCAGAACTCTTATGAACCATGGACTGATGGGATGGAGCCTGGGCACCCAATGCTTTAAAGCCTAGGACTGATGTGATGGGATGGAGCCGCGGACTGATGGGGCGCCCAATACTTTAAAATCAGAACTCTTACGGACCTTGGACTAGCTGATGGGATGGAGCCGCGAACTGATGAGGTGCCCAAAAGTGTAAATCGGAACTCTTATGGACCTTGGACTGCCTCGGGCTGATGGGGCACCCAATATTTGCAAATCAGAACTCTTGCGGACCTTGGACTAATGGGATGCAGCCTCGTACTGATGGGGCGCCCAACATTTCAAGTCAGAGCTCTTACGTGCGAACCTTGGACTGATGGGATGGAGCCTCGGACTGATGGGCCGCCCGATATCTTGAAGTCAGAACTCTTATAACTTGGACTGATGGGATGGAGCCTCGGACTGATGGGGAGCCCAATATTTTAAAATCAGAACTCTGACGAACCTTGCGCTGATGGGATGGAGCCGTGAACTGATGAGGCGCCCAAATTGTAAAATCGGAACTCTTACGGACCTTGGACTGGTGCGCTGGAGCCTCAGACTGATGGGGCGCCCAAAAGTTTCAAATCAGAACTCCTGCAAACCTTGGACTGACGGCATGGCGCCGCCGGCTGATGACCCAAAGTTGTAAAATCAGAATTGTTATGAACCCTGCACTGATGGGATGGAGCCTCGGACTGATGGGGCGCCCAATATTTTAAAATCAGAGCTTTTATGATTCATGGACCGATGGGATGGAGCCTCGGCTTGATGGGCAGCCCAATGTTTTAAAACCCCGAAGGAAGGACTCTGAGTCACGGGTGCGAAAGGTCGAGGGTTCTCGGAAACTGGGGCTCCGGGAAAGCCGGGGCAAACGTCCTGGGGTTTGGGCAAACCTGGGCGGTTGACCCTGGATCCTGATCCTGAGCCGATCCATGCTATGTTCGGGTTGTACCGGAAGCATATCACAGAATCTTTCAGAAGGGGTGGCACAATAAGGCACTGGCAAATAATCTTAAGCTTTTCGCAAGCCCATGGAAGCAAGGTTCTGGCATGTGTGTGTGTGTGTGTTCAGTATTCATATATCATGTGCATATCGCGTCCTTATCGCTTTGCAAACATCCGCTTTGCAGAAATTGCCTTCAAGGTCAGCCTAGCCGCCTAGCCTGGACCGGGCAGTTGTAAATAAGACTGCAAGAACCGACCCGTTTAGCCCACAAGCCCTTCAAACCAATAAACACGAACCAAGTTGTGCGAGCGCAAACCCCTGAACCTCAAAGTCCCAGCTGGGGGCTCTCCCAAACCGGGAAACCCTAAACCCCTAAACATATGCCTCGCCTGGATTGTCCGAGTGTGAGCGCCGGAACCCGAAACCCAAAGCCTTAGAACCCTACAAGTCCTAAACCCTAAGTCAGGCTTTGAGCTGCTGACGGATGACAAGATTAGCTCGGAGGTTCCGACGTTTTAGGCAAAAAGGTCCAGGGTTTAGGGTTTAGGGCTTTTAGGGTTTAGGGTTTAGGGTTTAAGGAGTCATATTTTTGGGCTTCTCGGGTTGTTGGGGGTTGGAGGTTTTGGGGGTTTGGAGTTGTATTTTGGGGTAACAGATCAGCAGAGTCTGGGTTCAGAAAAGGGAGGGGTCTTGGGCCTTGGGAAGAGGAGGAAGCAGTCTTCATCGTAATCACAATATGAACCCAACCAGGTAGTGCTGAAAATCATGCTACGGTGAGTTGAAGGGGCATCTAGTTCAAGGGGTGCTCAAGAGCCGTGTCATTTCGCAGGCTGGATACAAAAGGGTTTAGGCTTCTAAGTTTTTCGGATTTGAACCGCACCGGGTTTTAGAGTTTGGGGGTTCTGGGGGGTGTAAGTTAGGGCTTGGGGTTTTGGGGCCTAGTTGCCTTCGGTGTTGATTGGGACTTGGACTCCAGGTTTGTGGCTCAGGCATTTGGGGCTGTGTATTCTGTTGTTGAGGGGTTCTGTAAGGACCAAGCGCTCGGGAGCTTCTGCGTTCTCAGATCGTTATTTAGGAAAGCCAGGGTTTAGATCTTGAGCCCAGAACCTCACAAGCTGGACAAGTATAGGCCTTAGAGTCCAAACAACTCGCTTGAGGAAGTTCTGGAGGGACTGGGACGATGCTTGAATCTGGGCTTTGCATTGGTGCCTTGACGTGCACAAGGTCTAACAATAGCAAGAAGAGGCCTAATTAAAACTACTGCGCGACAACCACTACTACGACCGCCACGGACACAGCTGCCGATACCGTTAGGCTACCGGTATCACTACGACGGCCACCACCACTACTACATGCTGGCTTAGGCATCAGATCAGCCTCACATCCGACTGTGGCTTACATACTGTCGTCGTCGAACTGCCTTACAAAGCTTTCTAGATATTTTTCTGGAGACTCTCGTTCCCTTGCTGCCAAAGAACCCTTAACTCCCCTTTGCAAGCGAAGTCAGACACAAGTGGGGCAACGAGTGCAAGGAGAGCTCAAAGGAGGACAGGGATCCTGAATTCCAAGCCGTAGACTCCGTAGACTGTCAAAAAGACAACACCAAAGATGCAGAGACCCGAAGATAGGGTAAAGGCGCGCATTTCAACATACCTAAACCCGAAGCCATAAACCCTATCCCTCTAGCCAAAGACCACCAAGGAGAAGGCTGCACAGCAACTCAGGTCTTCGAGCTTGGTGGCCCTAGGCCGGGAACAATGGGGAGCAGCGGAGAGTCAGGGTTTTAGAGGTTTGATGCGCATCCCATGTTGCCCCCCCCCGGTGTATGTGAGCTGTTCGGAGAACGCTCTCTCCCGTCGCACGCATCGGCCTCAGCACGGGTTTTAAATAAGGGCCTTGGGGCTTCAAGGGTGAATTTGCGACTGTTCAGGGGTTTTAGAAACTAAGCGTGTAGAGTTTGCATCCTAAGATTATTTGCCTTTTTGTGGGAAGCAGTTCCTTTATGGGTTTAGGTGGGGAGGGGATGTGAGGGGCCGAGGGCGCCGGCCCATTGGCTGGGCCTGCGCTGGGTGGATTCTGTTAACGTTACCCAGAAACTCCACAACCACCTTAATTAAGGAATATACCTTAAATTATAGTAGGATCCCTAATATGATTTAAGGTATATTCCTTAATTAAGGGGTATTGGAGTCCCTGGGTACGAGAACTTCACGGTGTGCCACAGGCTGAAAAATCATTGACGCCGCGATTGATGTTGCTTTCCGCATCATCTCATTTGCAATTCCGACATCCTCCTACGACCATCACTATTGCAACGAAGAGGGTGTTGTGATATGGTTGTCATATTGACTATACTGATGCTGTGGGTGGTGCTGATGATGATGATGATGATGAAGATGAATAAGGATAAGAATAATAAGATGATGGTTTCAGGATCGTGGGACTCGGCTCTGGCATGCTCTGTCCTCTGTTTATGATTTCCCACCACACATAGGCCCTATGAGGACAGAGATCAAGACGTGGCTCGACCGCGACTTTGTCTGCAGATCGGGTTCTGTAGCCTTGGCTTTGTTTTGAAAGTTTTCGACAGGCGGAGCACTCAAGGAAAAACGTGGCATGTCTCAACTGGAGCCTAGCCCCCCAAAACAGTTGGCACCCACATCATGTCCATGAGCTTTGTGCATGTTTGTGGGAGGGGGGTTTACAGACATGGGTTTGTTGATATAACCGCCAGTGACGAGGGCTTGTACATCATCCGGTGTAGCTCGGCTTGCAGTTTTGGTTGCGATGAGGTTCTAGATAGAGGTCTCAGTCGAGAGTTAGGGAGACGTTTGTCGACTTGGTTGGGAGCTAGCGTTGTCAGTCAGAGTTTGTGTTTCAGACAGTAGCCGGCAGTGGAATAGGGAACAACACATCCCAACGTTTCAGCCTGCTTCCAAAAGAGAATCGCTCAAATCCGAGGCTGAACAGATTTACAGAAGCTGATTAATTCCTGTAGTTCTAGTATAAGGAACCCCCACAGCCCTCGTCTAACTAGGTCACACATGCGTCAGGCGCCGTGCAACTTTCCAGGGGTTTCAATTGGCTTATTCTATGGTTTTTGTACGGCTTCTAGGGAAGAGTCGTTGTTGCGCAAGAGCCGAAACTATTCATTCTTATATACACATTTCTGGTTTTGCGGGTTTGTGTGCAGATTTACTTGGCCTACATTGGATTGAAGGCCTCAGTCTCGTAAAGAACGGGCTGTAGGCAATGCCTGGCATGATTGTCTTACTTTCCCTGGCTTCTGGGCAAGTTTTTTTATGTAGGAGTAGTAGGGAGGGGGCCTTAAAATGAGTGTCATCTTACTTCGCATGGGTTCAGGGCAAGGTGTGTTTAGGATTAGCCTTACTTAACATGAAAGACTTACTTTCTATGGAAGGTTCAGCCTAATTATTAGTGAAGGCTTAGGGCGACCCCTGACATGGCAACTGTGAAGGCAGAGCTTTGGGCGGAAAGTTGTGACAGGATGCACGCCCAGAGACATTTACGATGCCCCCCCCTTCACCTCCCCCCCCCCCCACCCGATCGTGGAAACGCAGCAATATTCAGTCGTTTGTGGCGCATGTGGCCCCTTACAGCCGAGGAAGGCTAGAACCTGCAGCCGGTAAGAGCTGTACTCCAAGTCTCTGCTGGCGACTAGTATTGGTATTACTCTTATTTGCTTCTTTATTGTTTGTTTTATTAGTTACAGCTCCTGTAGATATGATTAGAGTTCTTATAGAGTATTATACTTATTATGCATGCTTCTGTTCTTATCGTATTTATTATGCTGTAGTGCTTGTCTACTTGAATACGGTTCTTGCAGTCATTATAGTCCTTATAGTCATATGGTTCTTACAGTTTTTTGGTTGGTTGAGGTCTTCGCCGCATCGCCGAAGAGCTGGATTGGCCGCCACTTTGGTTCAAGAGCATTCGGAGTTCGGGACTTGGTCTTGAAGCTCTGGTTTAGAATAGTCGGGTGTGATGATATGAGATCCAGATTTTGCCGGACGTGTACCGATGCCTGCGGAGGAGTTTCGGTCGTGGGGTCATGCCTAAGGCTTTGATGCCGTGGGTTGATGTAATCAACCCGGATCACTGAGGGCTGCGATGAGACCGCTGCAGTCCTTCACGAGGCCTTCTTGAGACCATGCATCTTTTCCCGACCTGGGTAGTTTTCGAAATTAGGGTCCCCTTTTAGGTCCCCAATATAGTACGGCACCCTTATAAAAACCGACCCTGAAAGGGACCCTGATTTAGAAAACTACCCACATGCAGACTATGAAGCTCCACTCCTTACAAAATGTGGCCCGTACTGGTTTGATTCTGCAGTCATGGGGCTGGTAAAGCTAAGCTACCTGTTCCTATTCTCTCAACGACCTCGGCTTGAAACCATGTGTGGATGTCTCTATTTGTGCGTCTGTCCAGTCTGTTATGTCTGCCCATGTCTCGCTCTGTCAGCTGGTATCTTTTATAAGCCTTCTAAACGATTCTAAATCCTAAACTTACTAGCTTACTTCAGACCTCCACAAGGCGCGATCACCCAATCAAGTTTTTGATTTTGTGTGGATCCGGAGACGTCAACTCGCGCTTACGATGCACGCCTCGAATCTACCTATGGAAACGGTTTGGAATTTTAGTTTTAATGTTTCGTAGTATGAATTTTCAGCTGCCACCTTGGGTGCCCTCATGCCGTTCTTTTGGGTTCTTTGAGATGCTGTGCTAGAGGCTTCTTGCCCATGCTTTCTGCTGAGACATGCCGACCAAAGCCGTGAAGCCTAAGCACGCTTCGTCTCTCTCTCTCTCTCTCTCTCGCTCTCTCGCTCTCTCGCTCTCTCTACTTTAGCCCTCGCAAGCAGTCGGGTCTGACCTCAACTTCCATCGACTCGCACCTCCTCTTTGCCGCAGGCTTCGCGCTCCGCTACGGGCGGCCATCGGAGTTGCCAAGCGCCAAAGAACCTCTGGATCTCCCAGCAGTTCCAACTTCTAGGTCGGCCTTCTACCCCGCCAATTCTGGGATCCTTCTCTCCATGTGCTTCTTTTCTGTCTACTACAGCCTGTGCCCTCTTGCCTTCGCCCTAAAACCCCAAGGTTTTATACAGAATGTGCTTGCTTGCTCTTGTTTCAACCGACAGCTGGCCGGCTTTGATCCAAGGCTCGGCTACGTGGACTGAGCTGTGGCCTCCAGCGTCGCTGAATCTCAATAGGGCGTACAGGGCGTAGGGGTCGGAGCTTTAGGGTGATGGGCTTAGGGCTGTAGGGTTATAGGCTATAGTTTACTTAGGTTTAGAGCTTAGGGTATAGGGTGGAGGGCCCTTCAAACTCGAACACCCTCTGCTGCCAGCAAGGCGTGTCGAACACTTTGGCCGATGCCGCCGCCCTCGACCAAGCGGCCGAGAAGGCTGGACTCGGTGTCGCTGCTTGCTCTTAGGCTTTGAGTTTAGAGTGGGTTACGGGTTAGACGTTGGCTCTCTAGCATGGGGATGTAGTTATGTGTGCCTCTAGTTCGGGCAGGCCGTGTTCGGGGAAAACACTGGGATTTCTAAAACTGCTGCATTTTGGCTGTCATCTAAGATCTAGAGGTCGGATCTGCCAAAAACAAGTGTCCTCACAAGTCTTTGCTTCATGGTTTAAGGAGCCTTCGGCCGCCTGATCCAGTGTTCCTCCGGTTTGAATCTGGGCTCCACATCTTCTGTGAAGTATACTGCCATGAAACAGAACATGGCTTTGAAAATCTGGACATACAGCTTTGGGGAGCTATGAGGGGTTGAATCTAGAGCCCTCGGGCTGCTCAGGGTTTCAGCAGCCAGTGGTGTCGAATGGTGTCGAACGGGTATGAGGTCGTGCAGGACGGAAGCGCTTGCGGACAGCCGTGCAGAAATGGAAGTCACTCCCCTCTCTCTCCCGCTCCCTCCCTCTGTCCTTACCTTCACGCTCTCTCTCCCTCTCTGTCTCTCTCT